AAAGTAAGGACAATTTAAAAAACAAAATAAGTAAATGTGTCTAATCAGTGAGATAAATCTAATACACCAATATGCTTGAATTCTCTTGAAGAACGCCTATGTACCAAATCATTTTTCTCTACTTTATGGAAAAATACATGGGAAAACCAAAACCTCTTGTTAAACCTTAATAATCATCAACATTATCATACAACTAGAATACATGTGCCTATGATTTAAGGGAAAACAAGTATTTTAGATTTATTCACCAAGTAAAATAACTGATTGATTTCATTTTGTCTTCTGTCATTTGTTAAAGGAAAAGCATCAGTAAAGAGGCAGACACTAAAAACAAGAATAAGTGGTAACAATGTAAAGTTACAAGTAACCACTGGAAACAGACACATGTAACAGTGACTAACTTCCTGGTTTATACTGTAGGAGTGAGTATCTGTATTTGTTTCATTCATTCAACAAGTATTTTACTGAGCACCCATGATGTGCTTTGCTCAGCACCTACTGGATTCTTAAAAAGTACAGAACACATGCCCTGGTCTCCAAGAGCTAACAATCTGTTACTTTTGGGGAAAATAGCAAATAAGAGACCACACAACAAGTCAATAACTAAGTGACAACATAAGTGAACACTAAGAATCATGAGCAGATTACACAGGATTTTCTTTTGCCAAATTCTGAGGACCTCCTGGAGAAGGTAGAACTAGTAGAACCGAGAGAAGGCAAGGAAAGTTCATGATGATAGTAAACCTGGGAGCAAGAACAACAGCATAAGCTATAAGTCATATAATCACTTAGGATACCATGAAAAGATCACTCTGGGTTTAAATTCAAGAATATGTAGACATGCATGAATCTTTGAATTGTGCTCTGATGCATACTACATGAAATCCATGAAAGTTAAATTGTAGAATTTAGATACTATGCCATAGGCACAGATAAACACTGAAGATTCTTGAGCAAAGATATAACACACTGAAATCTAGAATTTGGAGGGAGGGTTGTAGGCAGCCTTAAAGCAAGAAAAACAACTCAAAAACTGGTGAGTATTATAGGCATGGAAGTCTGACAACAAAAGCAGCAGGAACATAAATAAGATCTGTTAGAGTCGGTCTTACTAAATATTAAAATAAAAAAAAAATCAAACACATTTATAAAAGGTAAATCTTCATTTATCAGTTTATTTAAAAAGACCAAGCAGCTACTATCTTATATTCTACTCTTCTCACAGAAACAGGTAAATTAAGACCCCCCCCAAAAAAGGGGAAAAAGAGCCAGCTAGCAGGACTCTCTTAAGCAAAAGCAAAATTATCTGTGATAAACATGGCAGGATTTCCATGTTTGTGTAGAAAAGGACAAAAAAAAAAAAAAAAAAAAAAAAAAACCAATAAGATGAAAATACTTTAAAGGCAAAATTGCCAAACTTTTTAACACTATAGACATGGAGAAAGGAGACAATCTTCCATACAATCATATTTTTATGGAAATTCCTAGTGAAATGGTTTTTTTGTTTTTGGTACCAGAGATTGATCTCAGGGGTTCTTAAGCACTGAGTCACAACCCCAGTCCTTTTTTTGTATTTTATTTTTGGACAGGGTCTCACAGAGTTGCTTAGCATCTCTCTTATCATTGTTGGGGCCTCCTGCCTTAGCTTCCCAAGCCACTGGGATCATAGGCAAGTGCTATTATGCCCTAGCAGAAATTTTTGAGAACTGCCATCAGAGAAAAACCATTTTTTTTCTTTATTAATATGGCTTCTTAAGAAAACAATCCTTCCAAAGTCAATTAAAGTCCATACAACTTATAAGGTCCCTTCCAGCTGTAATATCCTATAATTTTGTAAAAAGTAGAAGCAAATCTATGTACAGTGACAAAGAGATGAATTTAATATATAAACGTGAAAGGAACATCATGAATATAAATAAATAAATAAGTAAATAAATAAATAAATAAAGCCATCAATACTACTACTTTTTTTTTTTTTTTTTGGTACCAGGGATTGAACCCAGGGGGCACTTAACCACTGAATCACATGCCCAGCCCTTTAATTTCTGCTTTTTTTCTTTTTTAAATTTTGAAATAGAATCTTGGAAAGTTGCTAGGGCCTTGCTAAATTGCTGAGGCTGGCTTTGAATTTATAATCCTCCTGCCTCAGCCTCCCAAGTACCTGGGATTATAGGCAGCGGCAACATATAACTTCTTTAAATTAACTTGTTGCATTTCAAAAGTTGTTAACTGACTTCTTAGATCATTACTCTATCCTCTCTATGTTATTTTACAAACGCACCTTAAAATTTTATGTCATTCAGTAACATTCCAAAGACCATAATCATTTGGCAAGAAAGACTTTTAAATCTTCAGCTGGTCCCAGCAAGAGATCTCAATGAAAGATGTGGTCAATACAGTTGTTCCTCAGTATTTAAAAGGGACTGGTTCGAGGACACTCTCCACAGACATCAAAATCTACAGATGCTCAAGTCCCTTATACCAAAAATGGCATACTGCTTGCATATAAACTATGCACATCTTCCAGTATACTTGAAATCACCTCTAGATTATTCTAATAACTAATAAGACATACGTGTTACACCTATATATTTGTTATGTTATTTTGTTTAGGGAAATAGTGACAAAAAAAAAAAAAAGCTTGTACACACTTTGTATAGATACAATTTATGCTTTTAATGTTTTCAACCCAAAGTAGGCTGAATCCACAGATGTGGAATCTGGAGGTTATGGAAGACCAACTGCAAACTGCACATCAAGGTTCCATAACCAAGAGTCCCAAGTCTTTTATGTAATGTGTAAATTAACTTTTAAGATTGGATGGCAGAATTCTACCATCACTGCTGTGACTGACATGGGCACCCTGCTTCTTTTCAGTTATCTTCTCACTACTTACTTTTTCATTAATATTTCTTAGAATGTGTAAAGAGAAAAAATGATGCAGGAAGAATAAATTTTGTTATTATTAACTTTCATTTTTAAGGGCATGTTCACCAGAGCTTTAAATAAGATTCTTCAATTATTGAGGACTGAAATTATCCATGCTTTCCAGCATTATCACATGTGCTAATAAAGCTAAAATAAGAATTAGCTTTACCAATGAATAATTGGGACCCAAACTTGTTAGACATTGGGTCAAAAGGGGGATGATCTAAATTTGAGACAACAATGGGAAACTCTTGAGAACCTTAGAACTAGACTCCTAAACATTCATTCATTATCCTAACATGAGCCAACACAGGGAGAAAGAATTCTAAGCCTCTAAATAATCAGGTATACTTAAAGGCACATGGCATACACTGGCCTAGAAAAAAAATGCAGAAGAAAACCACAAGGCAAAATTCAGTCTCTGAACTGATGTACACTGAGTAGCAAGTTTAACTTACTAGAAAGATGGTCACTAATGCAGCTAAAAAGAAAGGGCCATAAAATAAATTGTGACCAGCTTATGTCAATGAGATACATGAAACTACTTTAAAAAATAAAATCTGCATTTTATTAAAAATGACTAGCTGGTATCTTGGCTTTGATAGTGCAACAGCACCATGACAGCAAGGGTAAGCAGGTCAATCCCTTGCAAAACTTACCTTGACTGGCCCAATGGAAACAGAAGGCCCCAGAAAAGAGAGAAGCATCTGGCAGTAGCAAATTGTTTTATTTTATCTTTCTGTGGAAAGAAACTAATTTTAAATAAGAACCAGAGCATTTAAAGAATAAATATTTTTTTAAAGCTCATTATCTAGTTAGAGCAGCTCTATAAAGAAAATAAGAGCAGCTCCTTGCTGCTTAGAGATGGAAAGAAACAGAAGAGGAATCAAGAGTTGTCTCCGCATCTCCTAAAATTTGTGTTATTCTGGAATAACAGAATAAAAGAGTCTTTTATATAAAGAACTCCTGCAGGCAGAATCTTTTAGGTCTGATATTTCTAAGTAAAGATTTTTATACAAAATTAAGGGCTATATTCCAAATATAAAAGAAGAAAACCACTTGACATTCAGCCCCTCTACTCATAAGGTTAAGTAAAAAGAGTTACAGCAAGCTCCTTTTTCCACTGAAATTTCACCAAAAACTTTATCCATCAAGGCTTAAACAATTATCAAAGCAAAGAGTACTCATTAGCACAAGATCATACATAATTTCTGAAATTTTTGCTAGCCTAAAATTTTCATGACTTATCAAGATACTCAAATGGAAATAACCCAGCCACCTAAGCATCTCTGTATTATAGAACCTAGCATAGGGCACACAATTATTCATGGTAAGTGAACCTGTTGCCTTTCTTGGATTTCTCTAGAAACTCAGTTCTACCAAAGTATCCGAGTCAGCATGATAACCTTTTGATTCATATCAACTCCCTCAAAATGTCCATTTACAGTTTATGCTAGAAATGGAAGGGGCAGCTCATTAAGTAGGAGTGCAGAAGCAATAAACATTTTTTAAAAAAAAAATAAAATAGTGTTAATAGAAAATCAACTACTGATTTGACATTGTCCTATGAAGAATCAGAATAAATAGAGCATTAAATCTCCCTACCCCCACCCCTACACACAAAGAGGAAGATACTTCTAGAATAAAATTTATTTTAAGCCTAAAGTATAAGCAATATTTTCTGATTCTATGCATTTACATGGTCCAACAAAGTTAATTATGCTGACATATATCAGATAATATTTACTCTTAGAACATTAACTTCAATTGACATGCTTTATAGTCATTAAGTTAAAAAACTAGATATGTGCTGTGACTTTTAAATTAAAAAAAAATCTTTAATTTTATTGGAGTAGTAAAAGTAAAAAGTTTAATACAGAAGACTTTCATTACATTCAAAATTTAGTTACAGTCATGATTCAACATTAGTCTTATTTAAAAACATTATTGGGCATCAACTAATCCTTAAATAGCTACAAGCACAGTATTGACCTAGAGTTTGAGATTTTACCACAATACCTGAGGCAAAAATAGAGACAAAAACAAACAAAACAAAAACATAACATTCTTACTTGTCCCATTGGTGGCCCTCCCATAGGAGGCATCATTTGTGGCATCATTCCATGAGGTACAGGAGGCATATTGGCTCTCTGACCCATAGGGTGCATTCCCATTGGTGCATAATGCATGCCAGGGTGCCCCATCTGAAAAACAGAAAATTTAAAACTTGGCAAGTCACATTAAATGATTCTCAAAAAAAATCTCACTTCAAGAAATCACTTACCTTCAGTACATAATATTAGGCTAATTTGTGCCCAAATTATTGTATTAGTTTATACTTTCCTATTAAAAAAAAAAAAGCACTACACTAGTATTTGAGGAGTTTGCAAAATAAATAATTATTGGACAGCTAGGTCCGTTGTTTTGCACTGATTTAATCAGCTACTGATTTGCTCGGCTTGGAAGATAATATATGTATATACGTATGTGTATGTACGTATGTATATAAAGCCAACTTAAAAACTGTTGGTGAAAACCTGAACTTTGTCCTATTTCAAACAGACATAAAAGACAGCTGACATTTTTTTAAGCACTACTGACTTTAAAATGCTTAATTTATCAAACTGATTTAAAGGAGGGCTGGTCTTATAAAACACAAAAGTATGGGTCCCCAGAGACACCTGTCTACTAACAGTTACTAACCTAACTTTTAAGACAGGTAAAATTCCATTTGCCAAAAACACAGTTTCAAAGACTTAATATTCTGTCACTAAGACACTAAGTGCAAACAATAATTCACCCACTTTAATGCACTTTTAAAAGACAACTTTCGTTACAGACGTGTCCATTGTTCCAGGTAATTATCCCCTGCCAATTAATCAAGCAGTACCCCCTGCATATCACCACCATTACTAGAGAAAACAAATTTTGCTAGCTTCTTTTAAAGTCTTAGAGAATCAAATTTCCTTACTAAAACAGGCCTATAGCTCCAAGACGCAGCACGCCCAGGGTTCAACACCTTCAGCGCGCATCTGTCTAGGCCAAGGCGACTGGGAACTTCCAGGGTCCTACATCCTTCTTTTGTGCATCCCCGCTCTCCGTTTCTCTCCCTCGAGACATATCCCACCATCTCGGGCGCTTCCTTCGTCCACTCTTATCTTCTTCTCCTTTTGGAGAAAGCTTCCTGTCTCTGACTTCGTTTTTCATTGTGCCGCTTCCCCCTGCCCCACCGATCCCTTACCGAAGGCCGTCTCCTCAGGAAGCCGTCAGCAGAGACCCAAGAGCTGGAGCACAGGCTTGAGCCGGACAATCTCCGCTCCCCGTCCCCGGGACCCCGCGAGGGAGGATGGCTCTCCATTTCACTCACCATGAGGCCTCCACGCTCAGCTCCCGTCCCCGGCCTCATCGTCGGGCTCAGACTGCTCCGCCGGCGGCCACTGCCGCTACACATACCAACAAGAAGCGATCTGAGTGGCTGGCGCCCGCTGGGGCCAAAGGTTAAAGGCTGCCCTGAGCTGCGGGGCGGGATCAGTGGGGCCAATAAGCTGACAGGCTTCCCCACTGTCCAATCAGAGTGCGCTGCCGACACGCAGCTCTGCGGCGATTCGCCCCCAGCCTCAGCCTCACTCGGCGTCGCCTGCATGGAGGGGGGGGAAGGGGACGGAGGAAGTTTCTGCGCCGAGTCCTCTGCCGGGAAAACTCCACCAACTTCCCCCGGGAAAGGGAAGACAACCGCGTCCCAGCTTCCCGGGCTTAGACCGCCTCACCCCGTAGGGGGTGGGGCAGTGGGGGCTTACCACCTTTCACCCCCCCGCCCAAGTTACTCACGCCCCACTAACCTGAGGCCGCCAGGGATAGGGTAGGGTGGGGTGGGGGCGGGGTATGCAGCTTCTAGCGTTAGCGGTGGCTGGGGCCGGGAGCGCGCGAGCGCGCGCCTTGCTCGAAGCAAAGGGGAGGGGCGGGGAAGTCGCGAGGAGGAGTCCAGCAAGAGTTCCAGCTCAGATGCGCCGGCTGCTGAGCGCGTGCCGAGGCGGACGGGGGAAGGAGGCGTGTCGAGTAGCGTGGAGGGAAGTTGTGGGTAGGGGCGGGTGGAACTACGCGAAAGGCAGAAAGAGGTGGGTCGATATGACAGAGTGAGCGCGCCGGGCGGTGAGCTCCTGCTAGCAAGGAAGCTAAAGAAGAGTGTGAGCGTAGAGGGGAAGAAGGAAGAAAGCAAATAGGTTAGAAAATGTGTATCATAGTGGTATGGGCGGGCGCTAGGACCCGGCGCCAAGAAGATGCGGCTTTGGGGCTGCCGGGGTTCGCGCTCCCTTGGAGACAACGCAGCAGTGCCAGAGGTCTTTGGCCGGGACGAAACGCTGCAGGGAGGGGTGACTTGTCTGCAGCCGGCCTCGGCTTGACTTTCCCTACGCAGAATTCTGTATCCCTTCCCGCCTATTGCAGCGGGATAGAGCTCCGGTCTCGGATGGCACAGCCTCGCCTCCTGCTCCGCGGTTCCTTCTTGGCTCCACAGCCCACCCTTTAGCACCCCTGAGCCCTTGAGCTAAGTGGTCGAGGCCGTGGCGTAGCCCGGCTGCTGATTGGCGAAGACGAGGGAGGGGCGGGGCTGTGGGAAACTCTGGGGCCCCCGCGGTTCTGTGGTTATTTCCCGCCATGTCGTTTGTGGAGAGCGGCCGGCGTTCGGCTCCGCGGCGTCGCGGTCTTGGCACCCCAGCACCTTTCTCTCGGCCTTTGTATTCTGTATTCTCTCAGGGGGACAGCTGGGGTGAAGGCGAAGTTGATGAGGTGGAAGGATGCGATCAAGTGGCCCGTGACTTGCGAGCGGAGTTCTCAGCCGGGGCGTCGTCGGAGCCCAGAAGGGGCTCCCAGCTTCTCCCGCCGGACGGCGGTGGGTCGCCCGTCCTAACCGATAAACGCAATGGCATTTTCCCCGCAGCTACGCGTAGCCGGACCCAGGCTCGGCGATGGCCGATCCAGGTCCTGTCTATTTTCTGCTCGCTGCTGTTCGCCATCCTCCTCGCTTTCCTCCTCGCCATCGCCTACCTGATCGTTAAAGGTACTGATGCCCAGACCTTGAAAGTCTGTCCAGAGCAAAGTTGAGCCAGGGTTTGGTTCTCACCTCCACCCACACTTTACCTGGCTCCCAACCGGCAAGCTGGCAGTCTCTTTCACTCCTACCACTGATTTGTACCATTCTTTGCTTCTCCCCTTTGTCTTCTCTTCCTAAATGGATTTCCCTCGTCCATAACGAGAACTGTTTTTAAGAAAGGGTCTTTTAATCAAATGAGTTCTATTGAAATACCTTTAAGTCATTGGACCCATGGAGTCAAATATTAGCACGACTATTTAAGCCATATTTCGGAGAACACCCACCATTAAAAGGAGACAGTGTAAAATGCATGTAATTGAAATAATCTGTATATATTCAAAGGCTTTAATCCACAAATGGTACCGATTTACCCCTGGGTACATTGAAGATTCTTCAAGGTCTAGGATTTCCATCCCACAGCTCAGATTTATACATTTATAGGTAAAATAACTAGCCTTTCTTAGTTTTATGGTGTTTGTAACTAGATTTAGTACACAAAGTATATTTTGGTTTTGTTTTGAGACTTGGTCTCACTGTGGTGCCCCTGCTGGTCTCCAATTTGCAGTCCTCCTGAGTAGTAGGTATTAAGGGTAGGCATTGGCTGTTTGTATGCAAAGTTTTATTGCAGGAGGTGTAGTCTTGTTTTCACTAATTTTATCTTCTTTGTCTCAAGTTGAAATATTAGCCATATTGGAATAAAAATAGACTTGTGAAAGTTTTTTTCCCCCCAAGGGGGCTTTTATAGATGTATTATTTGTTTGGATCTTGTGTATTACAGTGAAAAGAATAAAATTTGAGTTTAAATCCCAATTCTTACTATTGTATGACTTTGTCCAAATTATTGGGGAAAAAAAAGTAAAACAAAAAAATCTTCGTTTTATGAAAACCACTCAACACTATCATTTTGGACCAGCTGGTAATGGGCTCCAGATGGCCTGTAACAGCTTACCATGCTTGATTTTCATACAGTGAAAGTTAATGTGTGAAATTTACCTCCTCATAACAGTATTGTATTGTATTTAAACTGTCAATCTTAAATGTTTGGCTGCCATTGTTTCTTTTGTAGGAGTTCGGCAGATTGAACCCAGGGGTACTTTACCTTTGAACTACATCCCTAGCCATAATTGTTTTTTTGAGATAGCTAAGTTGTGGGTGCTGGCCTTGAACTTGGGATCCTCCTGCCTCAGCCTGTGGAGTAGCTTGGGTTACAGGTGTGGGCCACCTCTCCTGGCTCACAGTTTAATTCCTGTATCACTCCCTTCCCCTTTTTTTACTATAATCCAGATAGTTTTGTCTTTTAGCTATTTTATTGCTTTGCTCTGAGATATCACTTTTGTAAAGGCAAAACTGGTAAGTAGAAGATCATTGCAGAAGATGTTTATACTTTGGAGAATGGAGAAAGGAACTGAAAAAATTTAGTATGTCCTTAAATTTGTATAAAATGGTATCACAACAACCACAGGATATGAACACTTCTGTCCTATGTATAGCAGTTGACAGTATAGAGGTCTTCTTTGCTTGCTGATGATCATGTAGAATCAAAATTTGAATCCATTCCTGACTCCAGAGCACTTTATGGAGTTCTACAATGTCTTCTAAGTCTTTGAGTTAGTCTTCAGATTATGAATCTTTTATACCTAAACCTCTTTTTGTTTTTACAGAGTTGCATGCTGAGAATTTGAAAAATGAAGATGATATAGATACTGGACTATTAGGTATGAACTTGACACTTGATTTGGTTTTTAGTTGCTGTTTGTTTTTTCATGTTAAATTGTACACACTTTGGGGTAAAATGCTTAATATTATTCTCATATCAATTAAAGTTGATTCTGTTAACTTTTTATTTGTATGTTTCTGATAAATGATTAGATTTTTGTTTTTATTTTTTGTAAATTTTATAAAGGATCATCAGTGTGTGTAAAATATTTTGAATATAACTGTGACTAAAATCCAGCAAATTCTTAGCGTTTTAAAATTATCTTTTGGAAGAGGTTCCCCATACGTCTTCTCAGGAATTAGTAACAAGCAAGAAAACTTCCCCACAAACTTAGCCAAGATAAATAATATCATAAGCAGACCCCAGAGGAATTTAAATTAAAATGTTCTTATAAACAATTTCTTTATTTTAAAAAAAGTAAAAATTTTAGTCTATATTTATACAGGTTACTTACAAGAAGAGTCAGGCCCGAGTTTCTGCAGTGTCTTATAAAATGACTTGGTTTATAGATTTCTAAAGAACAAGATTATTTATGTTGCATTTCTTTATCTCCACAAAAATGATTTTGATAAAGTTCAGAACTTTTACCTATTTTATTACTATTTATTGTAATTCATTTTATTTGATCACTCTAAATAAAATTATATGACTTTTCACTCTAGATTGGCACTTTAAGTTCATCATATAATTCCCCATCCCCAGTCCTTGCTAAAGTCTTCAATCGACTTCTTTAAGGCTCATGCTCACATTGACACAAAGTATAGTCAACCTGGTTTTGCAGAACAGCCAACTTTTTTCTTCAAATTACAAGGTTTACTAGATATCACATGGAAATGTTTATCTGTATCATTCTCAATTCTTGCATGAGAAAAATTACTTTTTACTCATTTTATCAATATATGTTGTTTCTTCTTTGGAAAACAGATTATTAGGCTTTTCGTAGCATGTATTGATGTGTCATCTCTTGAGAGAGTAGAAACAGAATTTTATGAACTTGGCATGGACTCTGACTTACTGTTGTTTAAAAGTTGGCCCAATTTTGCATTTATGAACAGAATGAGTAGCAGTTGTCATCTGAAGTAATAACTTGCTCAAAGTTGGCCCAATTTTGCATTTATGAGCAGAATGAGTAGCTAGCAGTTGTCATCTGAAGTAATAACTTGCTCAATATCAAAAGGAATGTGATAGGTTTTTTTTTTTGTAATTATTGCCCTGCCTCCATTTCTACTTCCAGTTAGATAATCTCATATGGCTTTTAGGTATGCCTAAAAGTTAATTCTGTGCTAGCAAATAGGAAGATCAGTATCTTAAAGTCTTTACTGATGACATGAATTTACTATTCACTATTCAGGAATGAGCAAAACTGCTGTTTTTATGGCAGAAAACTAAGCAACAACTCTGCCAAGAAGAAGGTCCTTATTTTGAGCCAATGATCAAGTGGAGAATATAGTCAATCTCATTTGATAGGCTAATGCAATGAGACTCCTGGTGATTAATTTTAAAGTAAGCATAATTATATTTATAGCAAATATGTATATTATAGCATATGGCTAGAGAATAGTTAAAAATCTCTTTCAGAGAAGCAGTGCCAAGATGATTAAGCTCTGATAAGGTTGGGATGATTGTATTGTTATTCTATGATGAAATTCTCTACTATTTAACCTCTTTACAGAATGTTTTGAATTGACATTCAAAAACAGTTAAAACTGTGCTTGAAACATTGGCTAGATGGAAAGATAGGCCAGTCATTCTCTCAGACTTTGACTTCTCTCCAAATCAGCACTGCATTGATTAATTTAGTAGCAAGAAAGATTGCCTCATTATCTTCTTTCTGAGGAAATGCCTGTGAAATTATATCCTGGCCCTTTTTACAGTTGCTATGAAAGTTTTCACATGAAGAAAGTTATTAAAATTATCCCTTAGACTAAAATAAAATTGGCAGTGTAGCCTTTTATCATATGGTAATGATCTCATTTTATTTTCTTATATTTGTTTTGCCCTGTTTACTAAAAACCTCATAGCTATATAGATCGTTGGTTGTTTTATGTATTGCCTACTGGTTTGGGGCATAATTATAGTTGTTTATACCTGTTTATATATTAATATTTCGATGTCTCATGTTTAATTTTGTTGCATACTGCCTCAGTTCTTCATTTGAAACTAGATTTTTAGAAAAAATAAAAATAAATAATGGAGCACTGTAAGTAGTCTACCATAAGAGTTCTCTTACTGGATAGATTGATAAAACATTTTTACACTGCAGATTTTTGTTTTTTGTATATTGAAATTGAATCCAGTCTAAGGTTGGCATAATAATAAGCAGATTGTAGCAGTAATTCTTATTTTGGTATGAGCTAAGAATCTCCTGGGGACTCAGGATATAGCTCAGTGGAAGAGCAGTCACCTAGCACTTGTGAGGCCCTGCGTTCTATTGCCAGCACCACAAAAAAATAAAAATGAAAATCTATATCTAGATTTTGATTCAGCCCAAGATTATTTATAGTCAAAGTACTATAATTTGAGAAATACTTTTGAAAGCCTTGAACTTGTTTTTTAAATTTTAAGTGATTCTGATGCAGGTAGTTTTGGTACCATAGTTTGAGAAAGTTTTTTGAAAGCCTAGTTCTCTTTTTTTTTTTTTAATACCTTTATTTTATTTATTTATTTATTTATTTGGTTATTTATTTATTTTAATGTGATGCTGAGAATAGAACCCCTGGCCTTGCATGTGCTGGGCAAGCACTCAACCCCAGGCCCTTGGATCTCATTTTTAAAAATGCTTTTAAGGGTAATGAAAATCATTGAGAGGTGACTAATAAACAAGAAACAATGTAAACCCAAATGTCTGTTAAGAAACCTAACTTCTAAAGGAGCTGGCACCCTGCTTTTGTCATCTTTGTTTACTGGAAAGAATTCTTCATGGGAAGCCCCTGTATAGTCTTTAAATTTGAAAAAAAAAAAAAAAAGGTTGTGAAGACAGTTTCAGAGTATTGGGGGAGTTAATTGATCCTATTGGCTAAGAGGATTAGTCTCTAATAGTGTATGTCTTTACTAGTTAAGTAGTTAGTGGGAGTGTGATTGATAAAATGAACTAGTTTGAAGTTCATGTCCCTTGATGTTCCCTGGATGGCATTGAAATCATGCTACAGGATTTTTGCTCTTCATTTATAATTGTCTTTCAAACCATTTTGTACTATAAGCCAAATTTTTCAGGGAGATTAATGAAACCAAATTTGTTTATTTAGTTAAAATTACATTTCAGTTTGGACACTGTGACACATGCCAGTAATTCTAGCTACTTGGAAGGCTAGGAGGTAGGAGTAATGCAAATTTGAAGTTAGCCTGAACAACTTAGTTAGACTCTGTCTCAAAGTAAAAATTAAAAAGGGAGAGAGGCAGAGCAAAACAGTACTTACCGACCCCATTCCAGTCATTCCTCTTTTAGGACTATTCTCAGGCCTATTAGGCCATTATTGCATAAATCTCATGTATTACAAAGTTGTTTAGTTTTTGCACATTGGCTTTTGCATTTGTAACAATTTCCTCAAGTTTTATCAGATTTCACAAACTTAGTCCTAATCCCAACACTGCATTTTTTCCCTTCGGTCTTAATATTACCCAGGATTAATAGGTGACCTTAAATACATAGGGAAAATAGAATTGCCTTTAGCAGAAAATACTAATCTAAGACTATTGCTAATAAATTATATGTAGGGCACTTTTTTATATGCATGTCAAATCATGCAATACAGAAATTTTAATAAGACCTTATGGAATGCCTTCAGTATCTTCAGAAGCTCCGTGGTAAAACAAACAGGAAAAAGAAGAAAAAGAAATGCAGCAGCTTTTGGGCTGTGTGTGATGGCACAGGCTTGTAGTCCAGGGAGGCTGAAGTAGGAAGATTGTTTAAGCCATGAATTTGTGATCAGGCTGAGCAACATAGGGTGACCCCTTTCTCAAAACAAGCAAAAAAACAGTCCTCAGTGGCAGAGTGCTTGCCCTAACATGCATAAGATCCTGGGCTCAGTTCCTGCCAAACACATACATACCAGCAACATGATATCTTTGGGTCCTTATCAATCTTAATATCTGCTAGTTAACATTAATTCTCTTTTGTGACTAGGACCAGACTTGTAGAATCTTGCAGCGTAAGGGCTATTCTTGTTTTTTGAGCCACCCATTTGATTCTTACAGTTGAAAAGTTTCCAGGTTTCTGCACACCTACAGAGAAGAAATGACTGACCCATGCTGATTTCAAAGATGAAACTAGATTGCTTGAAGATTTTCTCACCTGTTTCTTCTTCAAAGCCTTGGGACTCTTATCATCGTGATGTCATAATAGAACATTAGTAATGGTAAAAATTTCCAAAAGAAAGCAAGTATTGAAGTTGACCTATTCTTAAAAAGACATGTGTTCAAAAAATAACTCAGTTTTTTCACTACAGTGAAAAATCATTGAAGCCTTGGAGTTTTTTTAACCTGTGTATGAACCTTTTAACTTGAGCCCACAATCTACAAATACATTACTCTATTCAGAGTTTATTGAAACAGTCCTACCTATTGATTTATGTATTGTCTATGGCTGCTTTTACTTTACAACAGCAGACTTGAGGAATCATGACAGAAACCTTATGACTCTGAAAGCTTATACGTACATACACACACAGATATATGAAAATTGCTCACATCCACTTAGTTATTCAACAAGAAGAACACAAACCACATCTTTTTGCTAAAAGGATGTATGTTGGTGTTTTTTATTTTTACTTTTTCATCTTTTATGATGCTTGATGCCATAATGACAGATGCTAACAGCAGTCAGGTATGGATGCAATGATGATTAGAAAGGGAAAAAATATTGAATTGATTATTTTATTTTTTTTTAATTTTCATTTTTTTATTGAATTGATTATTTGAATCATGAATCTGAAAATGAAAATGCTTTGCAAATTATGAAACAAAGTAGTTTTATTTCTTTACCAAAACAATGTTATTAAA